CTTTCATTTGATTCTCAGTAAGAGAAACATCTTCCCCAATATAACCTTTCATACAGTGACTGGAGATGGATACAGGATTTGTAACAGAATCATCAGCCAAAATCATTTCCTCAGGTGCCTCCAGCTGATAGTTCACATCTTCAGCTGTTGATGTGTGCTTGAAAATCTGGTACTCAGGACTTTCTTCCAGCTCAGCCTTTATATCAGCACTGAAGTCCTCAGAAGGTCTGCGGTCAGGGCTGATCTGTATGTCTTCAGATAAATTCCTACCAGTGCTTGTGACTGGTTCTTCTAACTGCATCCTGACTAGGCTCTCCCCTGACAACTTTGGCTCCTCTCTCTGAGGGCTAACCCATCCATCTTCAGATTGAATTGTATCACCAATTTTTACTGTCTCTCCAACATAAGCAATGTCTGAAATGATATGTGATTCCTCAGAGAGCCCTCTCTTCAACCCTATAGTTTGAGCCTCTAAATCCAATGTTTCATGCATGTTGACATCACTTTGTGGGTGAAAAATTGTGAGATCCTGTATTTGGGTTTGCGACTGTGGCACCTGTATGGCACTGTGATCAGTTTTCTGTATCTCTTCAGGATCTACCGATTGAGGTATCAGTGTTGAAATACAAGATGAAGCAATGGCTTTGTGTTCAAATGCTGTTGTGTTCAGTTCAGCTTTACTTTTCAAATGGTCCTGTCCAGTCTGGAATGCTTTCATCAGCTCCTTCACAGAAGTACTCTCTTTCTCTGACAACTCTGGCTCCTCTCTCTTTGTGCAATCACTTCCATCGTCAGATTGAATTGTATCAGCAAATTTGACTGTCTTTCCTGAAATTAACAGTAATTCCTCTGAGATATCTCTATTTAACTTTACTGATTGTTCCTCTAAGTCTGTTTTGTCATATTTTTTGACATCACTCTGTGTAGGAATTTGTTTGTCCATCTGTATCTCTACAGAATCTTCTGATTCAGATATCAATGTTGAAACATAAGAAGCTCTGGCTTTGTGTTCAAAAAGCTCTGCTTTTGTTTTTGAGGGATCATGCCCAGGCTGGAATGATTTCATCAGCTCCTTCACAGACATAGTCTCCTTCTGTGACGACCCTGGTGCTTCTCCCTGTGGGCTAAGGCTTCCACTGTCACACTGAATTGTATCAGCAAAATGTACTGTCTTTTCAATGTATGCACTACCTGAAGTCAACTGTGATTCCTCAGTGTTATCTTTAATTAAGGTTACAGATTGTTCATCTAAGTCTGTTTCGTCACGTTTCTTGACATCACTGTGTTGATAAAAAATTGTGTGGTCCTGAGTTTGGGTTTGTGATTTTGGTTCCTGCGTAGGGCTCTGTTCAGTTTTCTGTATCTCTTCAGAATTTCCTGATT